TTATTTCGTGTACGTCGTGTGTACGCGGTGTAGGTGTCCAGAAAGTACGGCAAACTGGCCGTGGTGTAGGTGTCCAGAAAGTACGGTAAACTGGCCGTGGTTGGCTATAAAACCCTGCAATCGCCACGCAAAGTGGTCATCGGCTACCCCAGTCATGTATTGCTTGGAATAAAACTAGTAAACTAAACTAAACTAAAGTCACAGTCACATCTTCACAGCGATCTGGCGGTGTTTACTTACCTGCAGGTCACGTAGCTGCTGTTCCTTGCGTGCCAGTTGCTCGCTGGAGTCGCTCTGCACCGACGTCTGCCTCTGCTGTGCGCTGGTGAGGCCGACCTGAAGCTGCCGACGTTCTCTGTCCCACGCCTGGCTCTTGTCTGTGAGAGCGCGACGCTCTCGGCGCGCCTCCTCCAGCTGCTTGCTGATGGTCTCCAGCTGGCGTTGCAGAGATTCTCTTACGGCATTACTGCACGTACTCGCGGGAACTATTATAACACAGACAGCACAATACAGCACATTAATTGTAGCCAGTTTCTCCGCACAGCCAACGCGTGTATTGATCCCTGGCGTTGCAGAGATTCTCGCACAGCGTTTAATACTGCACGTACTTATGGGCACTACACAAGGTGCACATAATGTGTACAGGTTCGGCACGTGATATGAAGTTCTGCCGCCGCAGACCCTCCGCCCCCCTCTGGAGTGGGATATGTACTCTTGATTCTATGCTTACCTTGTGCTGGCAGTGCGCCGCCCAGCACGGCCAGGGTTTCATCCAGCAAGTCCACCATGACGCTATGCCAGACGGGCGACTCTTGCTGCAGGAAGAAGTTGCGGCCGTCCTGAATGCAGCCGATTGCGTGCTCGCGCGTGTCCTTCCAGAGCAGTGTGCTGCTGCGACTGTCAGCCTCCTCCACTTCCAGCTGCATACACAACACAACAGAGAACTATGATGTAGGACAGGCATAGAACGTATCGGTCGTCCACCCGCTTCGAGCTGATCTGTACAGTGCAGTCGCGCCTACTGTAAGACAACTCATATTCGGCGCATATCTATTTTCGGCCGAAAATTTTGCTGCGGCCGACATTTTGTTTTGGAAGGTACAGTGTCACTGTGTAGACGGTCACCAGCAATACAGGCCGAAAGTTTAATGCGGTCGAAGTGTGTTTTAGCCGTGGGAGGCCGAAATTTGAATGGGTTGAAAATTTGTAGACTTACAGTTGGCAATAAACATGTGCCGAATTACAACACAACCTGGCTTCAAGGTCCAGGACAACTTGGCCTTGCAGCCTTGCAGCTACGATTCCTAGCCTGTGTCCATGTGCCGTGTTCATTCACCGTACGTGATGTGGTGCTTCTAAAAATAGACGTGTGCTCTCGAGGCATGCTGGTGCTGATAAAACGTTTCCTTGCGATTGTTACAATCCTGAAGATGCCTGAAGCAGGGATTATATTTTACTTTGTGTATTCACCTTCCCACGGCCGGTAGGCTCCTGCAGTGACATGAGGGACCACTAGGCCGCAGTGTCCATCATTCGCCAGATCAGGCTCCAATGCAGGACTGCACTGCACGTATCAGATGGCGCTGCATGTATCAGGACAAGCACTGCTGGCTTGTGAATGCACACCCAAACGAAAATGATGTGTGAAATTCCACTCTAAGCCAAGAGGAGGATTTCGAGAAATCAAACGTGCGTTCAGTAGTAGTAATTCTAGACCTGCAGGCTTTTAGACACATGCACACTGGATGCATTCACACCGGGACTGGGGTAAAGGGCAGCCATGTCTGTGCTCTGGGAAGGCACACTGGCGTTCATGCCAGTCCAGTTTGCAATGTGAGCAGAGGTTCCGAAAAGCATGCGCAGTAACGTTACATACGTGCTTGTTCGAACTGCGCACCACTTGCTTTGGCGACGCGCGTTGGAGGATTTTAGACATCACCAGGCACGCACATGTTGGTGCACAACCACGGATCTGATTATCAGTTATGATTAGTCATGAAATGTCCCTCCCCCCCCCCCCCCCCACACACACACTCCTTACCCTCATCCGCTGTCTGACACTGGTGTCCTGGTATACCGTAATACGACAGTGTGTATACAATCGTCATCTCAGGAACACATCATAGCTGTTAAACAAACAATGTCATTGTGGATCATTTCCCTACAGCAGCAGGACTCACCTCCTCTTGGAGTTTATTGTTCTTCTTGATGAGATCGTGCCTCTCCTTCTCGACGGCAAACAGCTGCATTTCAGCTTTTTTCAGCACCAGCTGCAGGTGATCTCGCTCGGCACACGTCTGTTGGAGTTCCATATCGATGGCATCGCCAGCGCTGGGGCTAGCCTTCGTGACGCTGGGTGAACCCTTTTTGCTGCTGGTACTGCTGCTGCGGATGTTCATGCGGCTGCTGGTGCTGGCGCTGCTGGCGGTAGGTCTAGATAAGGCGGATCTTGTGCTGACAATCCCGTCGGATAGAGAGGAGCCGGAGGAGGTGGACAGCGTCGTATCGTCCTGCACATGACGAACACACGTGTGTGACGGTGGCACACGCCCGACATGAGTATCAGCATGCATGCGCGCGCACACACACACACACACACGGACACGCACACACGCACAAATACACATACACACAAAAAACACATACACAAACACAAAGGCACAGATCTTCAGAGACAAAGAGACAGACGACTTTATACAGAGGTGGGGGGGGGGGGGGGGTTGACAGGGCCGAAAAGTTGCGAAAATGTCAATTTTGCATTCACAGTCAGTACAGTGACTATGCAGCACTTTAGCTATGAGCGAGTACACCTGAACAGAAGGGCTTTCAGCTCACAAACTACCGTATATATACAGTATAGTTAGACCCCTCGGTTATCCGGTCTCTTTTATCTGGTTCCCTCGCCCATCCGGATATTATTTCGTGGAAAACGGATGTGTGCGGCTAAGCGAGGTCTGACTGTATCACCTATGTTTGCCGAACCCTGTAGAAGGCTGAATCCCGCATGGACTGGACAAAATGTTCATGCACCAAAGTGCCGCCTACCTCAGACGGTGTCCCCTTTGTATCGGCAGTGCCGAACACGGAGCCACCTGGCAGGGATGACATCGGCGGCGAGAGTTCGGGCGATCCGTTGATCGATTCGCTCGACTCGCAGCCGCTGTCACGCCTCTGTGGAGACTTTCCGCTCGACGCCCTGCGCGGAGGAACACACACACACACACATACACACATGCACACACACACATACACACACGCATACAGGCAAGCAGACAAACAAACGGACGTACAGACGCACGTATGGACGCACAGAAGGAGGAACGCACAGACACACAGACATATAGACAGATAGACAGACAAACGGAAAAGTGACTGGACCATAGCACAGAAGGACAGAAGTGATCACGACCGAGTTGACGTTTGAACCACACCGGTCTTCTTCAAAAAGAACAATTTGATGATAGAGGGGAGGCACTGACTGATAGGAATGTCCTATTTATTATGAGAAGAGGACTTCCCAGACAGACAAACAGGCAGGCAGGCAGGCAGGCAGACATACAGACATACCGATAGAACTGCATGTCACATCGGATCACATCATGGCCATTCAGCAGCACAGAGCCTAGCAACAGCAGCAGCAGCGGCTTACCGAGATAGGGGAATGAGCTCGCCGACCACATCTCGACTGCTATCCGATGCCGCTGGTACATTCAGCCTGGGCTGCCTAACCGTCACGGAGTCGTTGCTGCTGCTGCTGTACATGGAGACTTCCTCGTCCGACGTAGACTTACTCTTATGTAGCTTGGCGTCCCCCGCGCCGATCGACAGTTTGTCGCGCATGACCGGAGCAGGCTGGCTTAGGTGACGCGTGACGGCCAAGTTGGACGGCTTACGGCGCGATGACGTCGGCGAAGACCGTCCGCTGGTGCTCGGCGACGATCTCTTGCTGGAGCTGGGCGAGTAGTTGGGAATAGGAGCTTTGGGTAAGGGCGGTGTGCCCTGGGGAGTGCTCGTTGTACGGATGCTGGTCGGCGGTGGGGAGCTCCTCGGCAGGGCTGGCGGCGAAGACTTGGGAAGAGACGGCGGTGTGTTGGCCGGGGAGGACCGTAGCATAGGTGAGACAGGGTGCACCAGCCTGCTGCCCGCGCTGCGAACGGCCGTGACGGGCTCGGACATGTGACGCGCGACCTGCCTCGGGTGTGCCAGACCGCTGCTGCTGCCAGGAGATGAGGAGAGCGATGATGATGAAGGTGCAGCGGCCGTGGACACCGACCGCTTAGCCAGCCCTCTCAGTGACACCGGTGCCGGAGATGATGAGGATGATGATGATAAAGATGATGATGATGATGATGATGATGATGGCGAGCTGGACCGAGGGCCGCGCACATCTGTATTGGGCGTGGACGCCAAACACAAACCCAGACATAAACACATTGACACACACACAAGAGAGAGAGAGAGAGAGAGAGAGAGAGAGAGAAATAGTGAGAGAGAGGGGAAAAGAGGACCACACATACACATAGAAAAAACAGATAGCGTGTCGACGGTGTAGGTTACCAGATAAGCTAAGGCTAGTTGAAGGTTCAAACACCATGGTCTGCGATGTTTCACCATCTCCCATTCTCTTCCCCTCTCATATTCACTCTCCCTCTCTCATTCTCTTCGCCTCTTTCATTCCCTCTCCCTCTCTGATCCCCCATCCCCTCTCTCTCTCCCTCTGTCTCTCTCTCTCTCTCTCTCTCTCTCTCTCCCTCTGTCTTTCCCTCTCCCTCTGTCTTTCTCTCACCATCTCTCTCTCTCTCCCCTATCCCATTCACACACACATATACACACACTCTCACTTTCTCTCTCTCTCTCTCTCACCTCACTAGGCTCCCAGCAGCAAGGCAATGTCACAGCACAGCACAGCACAGCCAGCACAGCCAGCACAGCCAGCACAGCACAACCTTCCTTTCTCAGGTCAACAACCAAAACTTTAATCCGGAGTTGACAGCTGAGGTCTTGCATAAATACTAAACACACACGCACAGCGGCTGAACACACAGGCTAGGCTAAACACCCAGGCATTCTACCCGTGTCCAGCTGCAGCATCTCGTGTACAATACTCTGCGGTCTGCTGTTGTACTGGGAAGAGGGCAATGCCAGATTCTAGACAGCACCCCGGCCCGGCCCGTTTGCAAGCCAGGCACAGGCCAGAACTGCTCCCAGACGCCACTGTCTGCAGGTAACTAGCTCTGCAGATGGACGTGTGTTGGGCCAGGATGTTTCACCAGTGCCCTAACACTTGTGCTGACAAGATCACTGTCCACCCGGTGGCCACACTTGGTCACAGTCAGAGGAGTGTGTTGGTGAAAGACAAGCGGCCAACGTTGACCAGGCCCATGTGAGCATGACCTGGCCAGACAGATTGCGCCCAGCAGGGTGTTCTGTGCAGCTTACACACCACTCAGAGTGTGGCCACCTGCACGTGGGGGCTAGAGTGGTCATTTGGCCACGGGGGTGTTAAGGCTCAACTTAGTAGAAGTGCCCATACTAAATTATGCACCACAACCACGAGTTGAGAAATACAATACACCTGCTTGTCCAACAAGGGCAACACACACACACGCACACACATGCACACACGCACGCACATACACACACTCACCATCTCTCTCTTTCTTTCTCTCTCTCTCTCTCTCCCTCTCTCCCTCTCCCTCTCGCTTTCTATCTTTCTCTATCTCTGTCTTTCTATCTCCATTGCAACCAAAGGTTGTGCACAACATCGCAGGCTGTCATAATTTACAATACATAGTGTCAGCATAACCTAACGCCTGCAGCATACGACCATGTGCGCATATACCTCAAAACACAGTTTTATGCAGCCAATATACCGCTTGATTGACGCTCAGGCGCTACTAATCTTGACTACAGGGCATGCCACTACAATAATCATTGGCTTGCTTAGGCTGGCAGACAAGTGTGGTAATCAAACAGCTTGCGTGCTGTTACATTTTATTTTATTTACTTGTATTTATATTTTACTGAGAACACAACCTTACTGAGAGACTTATGGAGACAAACACAAAACAAGACACAGGGAATGTGTGTGTGTGTGAGTGACAGTAGGACGCTGCAAGCAATGGATTGGCGCTCGTAAGTTCTGCCCCGAGAGTGTGATGATGGCCGCCGAGTGTTTGGAACAATGTGAATATCACGCAAAGCAATGTCGTGCCAAGTGCTGGGACCTTACAGGATATCGGGGATCATGCGACGATGTAATGTCAAGGCAATTTGTATTGACTAACGTTATAGGAGCTGAATGGGTTGCGCAATGATGTCATTTTAGGCCATTTTGCATCGAATGACATCGTTGGCACTGTAGGACTAGGCAGTGACATCATTCAGAGTTGATGAATATTGAGTGATATCACCTGCACTTGTTTGCTACTCAACCTGCATAACATATAGCACTATTCCACAACCACAATCGAAGTCCATAATCCATTTCACGTTTTTTGAATTTTGAATCTTTTTTTCATCACATATTCTAGGGTAGAACCGTTCGCCAAATTTGATATTGCCAAAGAGCAATTCGAGATTCATCAGCACATTGTGCGCATCCAAGGTCGTTCTCTAATTATCACGTCGCAGGTCCACCCTCCTCCAGTTCTTGTCATAATGAGGGCCTAATTACAGCACCACACCCTGGCACCATCGCTTCACACAAACACCAGCCCACCGAAAGAGGACCAACACCGGCAAGATCATCATGATAGCTGGAGCACACCAGTCGCACAGAATCGTGTACTGTCCTCCTATTTCAGTGACAGTCGGAGGAAAAGGGCGCGACTTGATGCTGCAAATGCTAAATGAGCTCTATTCCTGGTCTGTATTTTCCTGGGCTCTCAACTCCTGATTAGGCAGTTGTGAGCGAAACTCGTGTAACTGACTCATTCAGACTCACAACCTTCCAACTACTAGCTCAGCAATATTACAAAAATCGTCACGGCACGGTGTTCCCAATATTCGCGCCACGGTGGGGTAGTGGCCATCACAACTTCCCTTGGGACAGAGAAGCAAATTCACTTTTTGGCTCAAAGAACTTTTGAATTTTATCGGCTGCATACCAATATGACAGTAGGCGGGAGTGTAAATTTCAACCACAAGAAGGATCCCCGAGCGGCATTCGAACCCAGCACCCCTGTCTTTCCGGAACAGTGCCCTACCGATTAGGCTACCGGGGATCACACACACACACACACACACACACACACACACACACACACACGCACGCACGCACGCACACACACACACACACACACACACACACACACACACACTCACTCATGGGTCCTTCTTGCTACAGTAGCACTGCAGCAGAAGTGGTCAACTTACAAGACACCGAGAAGTATAATCACAGAAACATGCACCACCACAGCTGTACTACAGTGTACCTTGCGATGGCGGCGTTGCCGTGGAAACGGAGCGATTGGCACGGGAACTGGCCGCAGTCGGGATCTTCGAAGCAGCGCTGCCGCGGCCGATCGGCGAGTTGGCTCGCGCCGGTGACTGCGCGCTGCCTGTTCCCATGCCGACAACACGGGCGGATGCCGATGTTGTACGAGGTGAGGCCGTAGTGGACTTTGCAGTGCTGGTAGGGGTGCTGCTGCCGCTGCTGCTGCCACTCCCGCTGGCCTTTGTGAAGGCTTCAATGCGGTCAGCAATGGACGAGAATTTCCTTGTGCTACGGCCTGTAATGTTACGATGCAAAAGACAAGCGGAGAAAAGAAAGAGAAAGTTTGAAAAACGTGGCCTCATGCACTGTGGTTCAGGCAGGTACTACACATGTACAAGCAATCAAGATGAGCAAAGTGAAAATAGAGAGAAAGAGAGAGAAAGAGAGAGAGAGAGAGAGAGAGAGAGAGACGGAGAGAGAGGTTTTAAGAAAGTGTTCCCAGTCACTATGATAGAAGAGAGCTCTAGCAGTGACTATAACTGTATAAGCTATCCTTGTAGCCTAGTTGACAAAGACTCACTTCTCCCTCCCTTCAAGACAAGTCGTCGCTGGACATGGTCGTCCTTGGGAAATGGATTTGGTGAGTCTAGCTGAGGATACGCACCTCTCTTTTACACAGCACTCTAGTTCTAGATTCGAGACCCCGTTGTTGTCCACCAGTAGTTTTCTCATACACCCTAGCTGGGATGTTGCTAGACCTTCATGTAGCGTAGGTGATCATGGGTGTCAATCAGCATGGAGGGTTGAATACACACGGACGTATTGTCTGACATTTGATCAGCGGTCGCGGCATGGTTTGGTCGCCAAGTCACTTCCACTCATGGCATGTGTGCATGTGTGGGCATGGGGGGGGGGGGGTAATTCATTAAGTACGGGGATGATAAACAGGGTGTCAGGCAACTCCACCACACAGAATGCCGCACGTCCGACCTCCACCACCATTCCATGGACAGTTTGTCCACACCTACACCGCATAGTCATACTCATACGGTTAACCCAGCTGAGAGTAACGTGTTATTATTGTCCTGGTCAAGTGATGTTCATCAAGCACCCCAAGTACCAAAATGTATGTAATTGTCAGCATTGACTGAGCATTTCATTCCACGTGTTGTCCGCCGTGCATTGACTATTTCCCCGTCAACGGAGTCTCTGGCTTTCATTCCATCTGCTCATAACACACATGCACGCGACTAGAGGAAGACAGTTCGGGGAACGTCAACACACAGGAAAACGATACATCATTGCAACACCGTCAAACAAGTCTCCGGTTTGTATTCTAACTGCTCACTTGTCCTGCATGTTTTATCTATCAGGGAGAGTGTTCCACCCCCCATCTGCTGATTTCATCAAGTATGAACCAATCGCTACCATATGTAGGAGACTGGATTGATGTGCAGGTAGGCTCAGAGCTGCTGCAATTGAGCTGTCAAGCGCACGCTCTAGCTGCATGTGCGGCGCAATGAAACATTTCATCTCGACTGAGCAGGAGCATGTGCATGTGGATGTTCTCCCGGGTGTCCTTACTCTATACGGGTATGCTCACACAGTGTACTGTGCAGGCAACGTTCATCGACTCCCCTGTGCTGCGGGGGCCGTCTGCTGGCAGGGAACATGTCATCACTACAGACCATGACTCCATGAGCATGTGCATGTCCAGCTGTCCTCACTTGAATGCTCACACAGGGTACAGGTAAGGTGTATTGACTTCCATTGTGCTGTGGGGGATGTAGCCGACGCGTATACAGGAACACAATCAGCATTCTTGACAGCCACCAGTGCTATACGACAGTATCAAAGTATGTATTCTGCTGGAAATCAGGAATGCACATTCTCCGCTGTAAAGAAAGGCGAATTTCACCGGACGACCTGTCGGACACGCCAAGTGTTCCTGCTCGACCATCGTCCTCCAAGAGCTCGGCATAAAGGGTCACGCTGGGAAGCACATTCCTCAGCTGAGTAAAAAATGTAGGACCCCGTATCATGCCTAATCTGCTTACTTGTAGTTTAGTCGATTTCAATTCAACAGGCAATGTGGTAGACTGGTCTATTATAGCACTGTTGGGATTGCGAAGGAGCTTAAAAGCAGTCAAAACAGTGTTGTGTAATGCTCTCCAGCCTGTGGATGTGGCGATTCAGGAATGTCTCAGCCTCGTCGCCAACAAGCAACTCTGATAAACGATCATCGACAGATGTATGGCCCCGTAAAATTTGTTTGACACTGGCAATACGCAACCTGTGTTTTTCCTGATTTTTGAATGTTCTGTGTATTGGAACAAAGTGATACTGTCATGTACTGAGCAGGAAATACAGCTGTTGCAAGCACACCTCCCTCCCTCCCCCCCCCCCCCCCCACACACACAATACGCATACACGCGCGGTCACAAAACAGGAATGCGGAGAGCAACTAGCGGCGACAGGCGATGCCCAACTCACCCTTCATGCTGTCAAAGCCTGAAATGACTGCCTGGAACTGAGACGCTATTGCCGCCACACGGCCACCACCTGTAATACAGAAGGACACAATAGTGGCAATACACATCACACAGGAAGAATACACAGATTAAAGTCATTTTCGAAGAGAGTGTCTACAATCTAACAGCCACCGGAGGATGCACCCAGTGTCTGTCAGCACATGGTGCTTCATAAAGTAGAGCTGACGCAAATATACTGTAAGTTTAAACCGTCAATAGAAAGAATATTGTACAAACTCCTATCATGCTGACACAGGACGGGCAGAGAACTCATCCTTAACATTGTGTTCATGTGATAGTCACCGGGGATCATTATCGCACTGAAACCTCCCGTCCCCGCAGAGACTTGTTCTAACGCTAGTGAAAAGGCTCACAGACATGGCATGCATCTTTTTCAGCACTGATAACAAAACACACCTTCACAGCCCACACTGGATATGCCTTGCACTAGTATCAGTGGAGACTCTAGACACTGTGCATCTAGGGCCTGAAATCATAGAGATTCAACGACTCCTGACCTGATCGTATTCAGATGTTTTATTGAACGCCCTCTGCTAGGAAGGCAGGAAAGTTACTCACTCTTCTTGCAGTACAATGACAGCACAGCAAACGTGCAAGACGAGGAGGGTAAGAATCACCAGAGCCAAGGAACAACTTTTGCCTAAGAAAAACCATGAACCGAGGAAAACTTATGCCTAAGAATCACGACGAACCAAGGAATGACTTATGCCTGGACAGTTTGACAGGAGCTAGACGGAAGCTCTTGCTTCAAACTTTCATTTTGGTTCTTGTAATGCCCAGGAGCAAGCGTGTTGTGATATACCGGGGAGGTGATTTATGCCTTGGCGTTTTGCTTTGTGCGGGACGGACATCGAACTCCTCCATGGAGGTAGTCTTGTCAGCCTGCTTGGTACACAAACGTCACGTAGTGTGTGTGTTTTTCATTTTTACTAATACTAGGTTTGTTCTGCCACCAGACTTTCACAGCGAGCAGGTCACAGGTGACAATGTCAACGTCAATGGATAGGGTACACAAACCAAGTTGATGGTGACAGATCTCTACGTGAGCACAGGGCTCGGAGAGCACGTAATGCGTGGGGGAAGGTGGCAGCAGTGTGACCTCACAAACACACACACACACTTTCCAAGTAAGCAGACACTCGTCCCAGCAGGCCATACACACAAGGAACAGGAGGGTGTCCTGTCACTGCACTCATACAGTTTACTGTTACATTTCTGTTACAATGCTGTTACAAGCACAACAGTGTGTTACTAGTACATGTAGATGAACAGTCATTCTCAAACAGCTCAGTGGCAGGGCCGGGTAGATACACAAGGCAGCTTTGCAGTGCCCAACAGGCAACACCAGTGATGTGGTGATATTGGGTGGCTATGTCAATGTACAATCATGCCATATGCTCAAGCTCATAGCACTGAGAGAACTGCACCCTTCAGCATGCACACTAACATTATCCACAACAAGAAGGAGTACAATCATGTACGAGTACTGTAGCTGCATGCTGATTGAGTTGGAGTCCATTTCCTTGTTGTCTGATCCCTGATTGGGGTGAAACTCTGAACGGTAACAAGGAACTAACTGCTAGTAACTTGTTCCATAGTACAGCTAGCTGTATCCACAGTGTGTACTGCAGGAGTTTCGGAAACAGAACCGTGCGGCGACAGTGAAGCAGGTCTACTGCCGTAGTCTGTGTGCATGTGTGCGTGAGTGACTGGGCATGGGGGCTGTCAGAGAGTGTGCAGTCACAGACATACCAGAGATACCACTACTAGTTCTGAACAAGAGTCCACACACAGTGACTGGGCAAAATAAAAGCAGGAAGATTCAGCTCCTGTGACCTTTCCAGGCACACGATTGCAATTACGTATGTACAATTACATGGCATGAAATAGTGGTATGTTGGTTGTGCAACCATTGGTTTCTCAAGGATATAGTGACAGTCACATGGCTAAATCCATCCCACCCTATCCTGCCCAGCTGGCAAGGCAAGGCAAGGCAAACATACCCCCCCCCCCCCCCCCCCCCCCCCCCGTTCAGTGCAGGGAATGCGCAGATGGCTGTACACCCCCAGAGCCTGGCTGAGGCCTGTACGTACAGTCAATCTCGTGAATAACGACCTTGGGCATAACAACAACTCACGAATAACTACGAAATCTTCGGACATAATGACCATTTGACTTCATATTCTCAACCACATGAACAACGACAAATCACACAAATCACGAATAATGACACTTTTCTCATACACTTTCCCCATGCACGATCAAGGGTGTCCATTGGCAAGGCTGTAAGCACCAGTGCACTGGTTTTGCACATTATTAGTCATTATTGCCACAGGTTGAGTATAGAACACTTGACACAAACTCAGATGATGGTGTGTTACAGTGTAGAACAGGCCGCATGGGTTGGTATGTTCACGCATGGGTTGGTATGTTCACGCATGGGTTGGTATGTTCACGCATGGGTTGGTATGTTCACGCATGGGTTGGTATGTTCACGGTTACAACATACCAAAGTAGTGGCCAGTGCTTCACACAGCCTAGCCACTGGCACTTGCCGTGAATGAGCACACACTGACACTGATTATATCCATTAGTATCCAGTGCCGTTTCACACAGCCTGGCCACTTGCAATGAGCACACACTGACACGTCCATTATCATCCAGTGCTTCACACAGCCTAGCCACTGGCACTTGCCGTGAATGAGCGCACACTGACACTGATTATATCCATTAATATCCAGTGCTTCACATGCACACAGCCTAGCCACTTGCAATGAGCACACACTGACATATCCATTATTATCCAGCGCTTCACAAAGCCTGGACACGTGCAGTGAGCACACACTGACATGTCCATTATAAGCCAGTGCTTCACATGCACAAAGCCTAGCCACTTGCTGTGAATGAGCACACACTGACATGTCCATTACTAGTATCATCCAGTGCTTCACAAAGCGAGCCATGCTCTTGAGGTGAGCACACACTGACACAGACTAATGCCTGGAAGCCGGATAGGGACTGAGTGCAAGACATCAAGTACAAACCACTGCTCTCCGGGCCACTCAGAGCCACACAATCAGAACAGCAGGCATGTACTTGATAAAGGCACACACACATACACTCTGCATTGCTGTACACATTGAGCTAGTATTATAATCATTATGACTCTGAGAGCCAGGTATCTGAGGCTAACACATTCCAGACAGCTCTCCACACAACCCACTGCAGTCTACAGTCTAAAGTAGCCTCAATCAAGTGTCATACATGCACCACTTCTTGGCACTTGGGGCATTGGAAACACACTATGTTGGGCTGAATGTGGAATTCAAGGATAGTTGGCGTGAGATATCACTATCATGCCTGAGTCATGCCCAGACACTTACAGTGAACCAGACAACAATTTATTATCAATTTTATCATACATTACCAAGGCCATGTGAATGTCACAGCACAGAGTCATTTGGTGCACACTATGTCCAGCTTCCTAACCTAGGGGTGTGCAGACTCCACTGTAGCCACAGTTCATGTTTTACACAGTTATACACCACAAGTTCACAACCCAAAAACGGCCTCTGGGCTACAAATTCTTCCAGAAATAATTATAATCCAGATTTTCGGGCCAGGCCCATCTTCAGGAATAATAGTCAAGAACAAAGACTATGGTTATTATAACGGACAAAACGATGAGACAGATGCCACGGTCCAGCTGAAGGTGGAATTCAAGGGTCAGTTAGTCCTAGACATAACCATGCCTGAGTCATGTTCAGACAAGTTCCATGAACCAGACAACAACCTATTTACGATACATGACCAGACCTCCATGTGAAAGTCACAACGCAGAGTCATTGGTGCAACAACATCGTAGTGAATGGAGCCAGAGGCCCACCACCAAGAACAAAGACCCTGGTATTCCTCTAACAGATGATATTCCTGAACTCTTTCTGAACCTATGTATGCCCAGACAATTGTAGATGATGACACTCAGACTATAAATGAATGATACCATTTTCCATCAAATACATTCCTCATGCACAGATAGTCACACTCTGCATCAAATAGTTTCCCATACATGGGCACCCGTGACTAAGAAAACGAAATCTGAAGAACTACGTTTGAGTATATGGGCTCAGCCGCTGCATTCCACTCTATTTTATCCTATAGTTTTTAGAGGATTCTCCAGAGGCAAGCGGCTGTCCGTCAAGCAGTCTTCCCGTCTAGCAGAGGTACCTTGACGTTACGAGTGTACAATTACTGGATTTTCAGCCAGGTTTCAGGGCTTGAAGCTACCTATTATCTCTGCTACTTGAACTAGTGCAATGATGATGATGAAGTTGCAAACTATTTCGTAAGTTTCAAAGGCGAGTTCAACGACGAACTGTGGACACCACGAAATGTAAATAGTTTGCAGGTCAGCTACAGTTCTCCCCAGTCACCAGCAGAACGGTGAGCATCATCAAACCACGACACTGTCACACATGCCCCCCCCCCCCCTCCTCCCTCTCACACACAGCAGCATACATTGCGTAAGGGAAACTCAAGACACGCTGCACGGCAGGTGGCACGATAACATTAATTCCACAAGACAGCACCGTACCTCCAGGGCCTTGGCAGACAAGACTGCTGCTACTGCTGTCGCCTTCACTGCTGCTACCTAGCTGCTCACCTCCCCTTGGTATCACTATGGCCATGCTTATAAGTTACAACTAGACCTGAGCCAGTCACGGTTGCTCACAAAACCTTTCCAGACGCGGCTGAAACCAGTCAACTACATAATACTGCATGAATACAGCAACCTACGGCGGCTGGGTGATCGGGATATATTATAATCACCAGAACCTAGTGAAAAGTGCAACTGTTTATCGCCAGGTGCTTAGGCTTCAAAAAACAGATCTGATCCAGAATATCAGATGATCAGGCAAGTGAGATGCCAGCACCTTCAAAGGACTTCATCAAATCTAATTAGGAGAGGATGTGCTCTGCTGATAATCTGGTGAGCATTGCGTTCCAACA